CCGGGCTTCCCCCGGTGGAGGCACTTCCTGTCCTCGCCAAGCTCTTGGGTTTCATGGGGTCTCCTCTTCCGCTCTTTTTCTGACTGGAGACGTCCGAGGAAGCCTGGCAATCTAGAGAGGCTGATGCGCCCCCAGCATCCCAGAGGTGACTGCCACCAGGTGGGGGCGGCTCACCCCGGCTCCTCCCTGGCATAAATCGGGGGACTCGCGCCTGCGCAGAATGCCTTGGTCCCTTTTAATTAAACAGGCAACCCAGGGTCCCTTGGTCTATGCCAACCTGCTCAGAAGTGCCTGGGCTCTTCCACGTTTCAACTGTTGTGTGTCCTGCTGCTGTGAAGTGTCCCTGTTGAGGTGGAGGCAGGGCAGGGCGCCTTCGCTGAGGGCGGGTTCCTGCTGTGCCCGTTTCCCCGTCTGTAGAATGCGGGAGACTTGGTGTCAGCAGGGAGGTTTCTGTGGGGGGAGTCCTCCACCCTCATTTGCATTTAGGGCTCTGAGGCTGCACGCAGGTTGAGCCCCTGGCTTTGCTGCCCCTCCTCAGGGTTAGGACTGTGCTGGTGCCTGGGTGGGTGGGGGGTGGTGCCTGCACAGGCAGCAGGCGGTGGGTGAGAGCGGTGCTGGACCTGAGGGCCCGTGGCTCCCTTGGCCCCACTGAGGAGGCTGCGCAGGGTGTCCTGGGCCACCTTCCCTGCCTGTAGCTGGCTCCTGCTGAGGGAAGGGGCGCTCTTGCCTCATGGTGGAGCGTCAGGCTCTCAGGCCCTGTGTGTCGGAGCATCCGGACCCTGCTGTCTGAAAACAGCACCCTCCCCGCCCCCCACCACTCATCTCCTCTGAATAGAAGGCAAGTCTTGCCTCCTGGGAATGGCCTGTGACCCTCGTCAGCGGGGGAGGTTAGGGCACACACAGCCCTGGGGAACAAGGGGACCTGGGGCTGAGCCGGGCCTCTCGGGCCCACCCTGAGCTCTCCTGAGCAGCCTGGCAGGCAGGAGGGCACTGGGCCCTAGGGCCTTTGCTGAGCCCAGCCTGGCCCTCAGCGTCCCCCTCAATGTTCTGGGCGCCTGCCAGGCTGTGGACACAGGCCCCGGCCAGCTCTAAAAATAACCTTCCCGGGCCCTGCTGGGAATTGGTGCCACCACCACATAGCCTGGAGAGAGCCGAGACGCGGGCTTCCCGCGAGCAGCCAGGCCGAGGTGGCCAGTGGAGGTGGGGGGACGTGCTCGGGGCTGGGCAGTCCTGCAGGGCACCAGGCATAGCCAGGGCCCGGAGCCAGTTGCTCACTGGCATCTCTTCTGGGAGGACTGTGTCCCTCTGTGCCCCTGTCCCCGTCACCCACCTCCCTTTCCCTTCATTCTGCTCTCCCAGCCCCTCCCCAAGCTGGCGGCCCCTTGTCCAGGCCCAGCCCCAGTGCAGCCTGCAGCCCTGGCAGAGCCCAGGCCTTGGCCTTCTGAGGTTGTCCTGAGAGCATTGAGCAGTGAGCCCTGGGATTGGTGCACTGGGAGGGAAAGGTGAGCCGAGGCTTCCTGCAAGAGGCAGCCCTGGGCTGGGGGTGGGCAGCCTGGGTGATGGGACACCCCTGCCCCCCTCAGCCTTTTTTTTTTTTTTTTGAGATGGAGTCTTGCTCTGTTGCCCAGGCTGGAGTGCACTGGTGCGATCTCGGCTCACTGCAACCTCCGCCTCCCAGGTTCAAGCGATTCTTGTACCTCAGCCTCCCAAGTGGCTGGAATTACAGGCACCCAGCACCACGCCTGGCTAATTTTTGTTTTTTTTTTTTTTTTTTTTTTTTTTTTTGAGACGGAGTCTTGCTCTGTAGCCCGGGCTGGACTGCAGTGGCCGGATCTCAGCTCACTGCAAGCTCCGCCTCCCGGGTTTACGCCATTCTCCTGCCTCAGCCTCCGGAGTAGCTGGGACTACAGGCGCCCGCCACCTCGCCCGGCTAGTTTTTTGTATTTTTAGTAGAGACGGGGTTTCACCGTGTTAGCCAGGATGGTCTCGATCTCCTGACCTCGTGATCCGCCCGTCTCGGCCTCCCAAAGTGCTGGGATTACAGGCTTGAGCCACCGCGCCCGGCCTAATTTTTGTATTTTTAGTAGAGACAGGGTTTCACCGTGTTGACCAGGCTGGTCTTGAACTCCTGACCTCAGGTGATCCTCCCACCTCGGCCTCCCAAACTGTTGGGATTACAGGCGTGAGTCACCGCGCCCGGCCCCACAGCTGCTTTGTTTGTTTGTTTGTTTGTTGTTTGTTTTTTGTTTTTTTTTGAGACTGAGTCTTGCTGTCGCCCAGGCTGGAGTGCAGTGGCCGGATCTCAGCTCACTGAAAGCTCCGCCTCCTGGGTTCACGCCATTCTCCTGCCTCAGCCTCCCGAGTAGCTGGGCCTACAGGCTCCCGCCACCTCGCCCGGCTAGTTTTTGTATTTTTTTTTTAGTAGAGACGGGGTTTCACCGTGTTAGCCAGGATGGTCTTGATCTTGTGACCTTGTGATCCGCCCGTCTCGGCCTCCCAAAGTGCTGGGATTACAGGCTTGAGCCACCGCGCCCGGCCTCCCACAGCTGTTTTTTATGCTCCATGCTGGGCTTCCTGTAAAGGATTAAAAAAAAAAATTTTTTTTGAGATTTCATTTGAATACTGTACAACTCACTTGTTCACAGTGTGCAATTCAGTGGCATCGAGTACATTCACATGGCTGTGCAACCACTATTTCTAATTCCAGAACATTCTGTCACCCCAAAAGCCAGCCCCATTCCCATTGTGTCACTCTCCATCCCCTCCACCAGCTCCTGGCCACTCTGAATCCACTTCCTGACTCTGGATTGGCCTGTCCTGGATATTGCACAGAAATGGGATCCTGTCGGCCGGGCGCCGTGGCTCACACCTGTAATCCCAGAACTTTGGGAGGCCGAGGCGGGCGGATCACGAGGGCAAGAGATGGAGACCAGCCTGGCCAACATGGGGAAACCCCGTCTGTACTAAAAATACAAAAATTAGCTGGGCGTGGTGGCGGGCGTCTGTAGTCCCAGCTACTTAGGAGGCTGAGGCAGGAGAATGGTGTGAACCCCGGAGATAGAGGTTGCAGTGAGCTGAGATCACACCAGTGCACTCTCGCCTGGCGACAGAGTGAGACTCCATCTCAAAAAAAAAAAAAGAAAAAAAAAATGGGATCGTGTCATCCCAGCGCTTTCGGAGGCCGAGGTGGGCAGATTGCTTGAGCCTAGTACAAACGAGACCAGCCTGGGCAGCATGGTGAAACTCTCTCTACTAAAATACAAAAATTCGCTGGGCGTGGGAGCACACGTGTAGTCCCAGCTACCCCGGGGCTGAGGTGGGAGGATCGCTTGAGCCTGGGAGGCGCACTCCAGCCTGGCCGACAGGGAAACGCTGTCTCAAAAAAAAATTAAAAATAAAAAGGGCATCACACACTGTGTGTCCTTTAGTGTCTGGTATCTCTCAGTGTGGCATCCTCAAGGTGCATCTAGGCTGTGGCTCGAGTCAGCCTCACTGGTTTTTGTGGCTGAGCTGTGTTGAGCGCGTGGATGGGCTCGGCTGACCCTCACCTGTGGAAGGGCCCCCGGGCGGTTCCACGTCTTGGCACGGTTTCTCCGTGGCATGTGCTGTTCCTCAGGGTGTGTACCTGGCAGTGGAGCTGCTGGCTCCCAGGTAACGGACCTTTGGAGGAGCTGCAGACTTTTCCACGCCCACCCACGGGCTCCTTGTCATTTTGTTGTTGTTGTTGTTGTTTTTATGAGACAGGGTCTCATTCTGTTGTCCAGGCTGGGGTGCAGTAACGCGATCACAGGTAACTACAGGCTTAAGTGATCTTCCCACCTGAGCCTCCCGAGTAGCTAGGACTTCAGGCATGTACCTCCATGCCCGACTAATTGTTGTATTTTTAGTAGAGACAGGGTTTTGCCATGTTGCTCAGGCTGGTCTCGACTCCTGAGCTCAGGTGATCCACCCGCCTTGGCCTCCTGTAGTGCTGGGATGACAGGCGGGAGCCACTGTGCCTGGCAAAGTCAATAGTTTGGAGAAAGGAAGCAGCTGCAAAGAGGGCTGTGCTCTGTGACCTGCAGAGGGGGCTGTGCTCTCTGGCCTGCTGGGCCGACCCTTGTGACAGGCAGACAGGGCAGCAGCTGCAGGGGGCAGTGACAGGCGGGTGGGCGTGGACGGCAGGGGGGCAGAGTGGGCAGTGACAGGCGGGTGGGTGTGGCAGGACCCCTCGATGTCTCCTTCTGTGGCTTCACCTGGTGCCCCTTCCTATGGGCCATGCTTCCAGCTCACCTGCGGCCCACCCTCCAAGGAGTGGGACCCTCTGAAGAGGAGCTGGGAGCCCTTGGCGGCAGGGGGCTGTACTGTGTGGCGGAGCCGTCACTAGGACCCCAACCCACCCTGGGTCCTGCCATGGCCCAGCTTCCATCTGTGCTGCCATCGCAGTAGTCTGGTTTCTAGGAAGCAAAACTGTTACTGAGTTACGAAGCTCAATTCACAGTGTCATTTGGGAGCCAAGGCGGGCAGATCACAAGGTCAGGAGAGCGAGACCAGCCTGGCCAACATGGTGAAACTCTGTCTCAACGAAAATACAAAAAATTAGCCAGGTGTGGTGGTGGATGCCTGTAGTCCCAGCTACTCGGGAGGCTGAGGCAGGGGAATCCCTTGAACCCAGGAGGCAGAGGTTGCAGAGAGCTGAGATTGGGCTACTGTGCTTCAGCCTGGTGACAGACCAAGACTCCGTGTCAAAAAAAAAAAAAAGTGTCCTAACTGTGTCCTCCAAAGCTCTCACTGGCTGGTGACAGACTGGAGGGTGCTGTGCTCCCACCCCCTACCGCCCCAAGCCTGGACATGTGGGCCCTGCAGGGCCCTGCCCCAGCGCTGTGAACCCACGGCTTCTCTCCAGGGAAGGGTAGAGGTGCGCCACCTCCATGGGGAGATGGGGAGGCCCAACTCCAGGGATCCGGGTCATCGTCCTGACATTGAGGTTGGCTGACACCCCCCTGTCCTCTCTGTCCCAGGGAAATTCAACTACTGAGGAGGTTACGGCACAAAAATGTCATCCAGCTGGTGGACGTGTTATATAATGAAGAGAAGCAGAAAATATATCCTTTCTGGTGTTGGGGCCACGGGGCCTCCGTGGGAGGGGCTGGGGCCCTGGGTCCGCCTGCCCCGAGGCCTGCTCCCCTTCCTGTCTACTTGAAGGAGACTGGCACACGAGGGCAGTGGCCTTCCCTGGCTTCCTGGAAGTCAACCATTGTGGCAGTGGCTGAGCAGCTTGCTGAAACGGCCCCTGTGTCCCGTGTCCTGTGTCCCGTGTCCTGTGTCCTGTGTCCCATGCCCCTGTGTCCTGTGTCCCGTGTCCTGTGTCCCGTGTCCCGTGTCCTGTGTCCTGTGTCCCATGCCCCTGTGTCCTGTGTCCCGTGTCCTGTGTCCCGTGTCCCATGCCCCTGTGTCCTGTGTCCCGTGTCCCGTGTCCTGTGTCCCGTGTCCCGTGTCCCATGCCCCTGTGTCCCGTGTCCTGTGTCCTGTGTCCTGTGTCCTGGAGCCGCGGGGTGTCAGGACCCTGTTTTCTCATAGTCTTCTCCAAGGCTAACCAGGGTGTGGCCAGGGTCTGCCTGAGGCAGGCCACGCAGGCTGAATGTTGTGGGCCATTTTGGTCGTGGCTGAGCGTGTCCTTGTGTCATCGGTAGACTCCCCCCATGGGTCTTACGGGCACAGCTTCCCTGCGGGGACTTTGCTTGAGGCCCTGTGCCCAGAGCAAGAGCAGAAGTGGTCCTGAGGCTGGGGCTGTGTTCAGAGTCACGCAGTCAGGTACCTGGGCCCCATCCTGTGTGGACCCGAGCCTGCTTGTGGGGGCGTCCAGGAGGTATCATCCCCCGCCCATGGGCGGGGTGGGGGACGTGAGTCCCGCAGGAACACTGCCCCAAGAGTCAGCCCTGTCCTCCACTCCCATGGAGGCTCCTTCCTCCCGGACACTGGGGCCTTTTCAGAGGGGTGTGAGGGCAGGGTGGGCCCCAGTCTGAGGAGGGGCAGGGTGGTTGCGGAGGGTCCCTCCAGAACCCCTTCTGTGGCCCTGTGCTCCCCGGGCCTGTGAGTGGGGCCGCCCCCTGAGCTGTGTGTCCTTAGCATGCCACGTATATGGTGATGGAGTACTGCGTGTGTGGCATGCAGGAGATGCTGGACAGCGTGCCAGAGAAGCGTTTCCCGGTGTGCCAGGCCCACGGGTGTGTGCACGGGGCAGGGGCTGGGGTGAAGTGGGGGCTGGGGTCCGGGCAGGGCAGGCTCCTTTCCCTGTGGCCACACGGCTTGTCCTGATCTTCATTGACATGAAGGCCCAAGTTTTTTGTTGTTGTTGTTTTATTTTTTTTGAGACGGAGTCTCGCTCTGTCGCCCAGGCTGGAGTGCAGTGGCCGGATCTCAGCTCACTGCAAGCTCCGCCTCCCGGGTTCACACCATTCTGCTGCCTCAGCCTCCTGGGTAGCTGGGACTACAGGCGCCCGCCACCGCGCCCGGCTAGTTTTTTTGTATTTTTTAGTAGAGACGGGGTTTCACCGTGTTAGCCAGGATGGTCTTGATCTCCTGACCTCATGATCCGCCCGTCTCGGCCTCCCAAAGTGCTGGGATTACAGGCTTGAGCCACCGCGCCCGGCCTTTTTTTTTTTTTTTTTTTTTTTTTTTTTGAGAAGGAGTCTCACTCTGTCGCCCAGACTGGAGTGCAGTGGTGCAATCTCTGCTCACTGCCAGCTCTGCCTCCCTGGTTCACACCATTCGCCTGCCTCAGCCTCCCGAGTAGCTGGGACCATGGCGCCCCCCACCACGACCGGCTAATTTTTTGTATTTTTAGTAGAGATGGGGTTTCACCGTGTTCGCCAGGATGGTCTCGAACTCCTGACCTCGTGGTCCACCTGCCTCGGCCTCCCAAAGTGCTGGGATTACAGGCGTGAGCCAGCACACCCTGCCCTGTGAAGGCCCAAGTTTTTAAAAACAGTTTTGGGGACTCCCGTGTGTGGTATCCACAGGCAGGGCTGCTGTCAACCTTCTGCCTCCATCTTTGCTGGGCCTGCTGCCTGAGGCCGGCGGCCCACCCCATCCCGTCCCAACAGCCACCTGCCCCGACCGGACCTCCTGGGTGCAGATCTGTTGGCTGCAGAGTCAGGGCCCCTTGCTGCCGCAGGACTGCAGGGGCAGGGAGGGGCCTGCTGTTTCAGCAAGCCTTTGGGGTGCAGCCGGCCTGTGGCCCACAGGGAAATGAGACCTGTGGACATCCGGGGCCCTGCCAGACGCGACTTGGCTGGATGAGGGTGGTCACTGCAGGCGCAGGCCTGGCTCCCTACTGGACCCAGCTTTTCCTCTGTCCTGTCTGCCTGGACCTCTGTGACTCCCCAGCTGGGCCTGTGGTGTTTGGGAGGCTCCCAGGCGGCTGCAGAGGGGACCCCTGTGAGGAACAGGGAGGCCTGAGTCCCAAGACGGGTGTGTGCTGCCCACAGGTACTTCTGTCAGCTGATTGATGGCCTGGAGTACCTGCACAGCCAGGGCATCGTGCACAAGGACATCAAGCCCGGGAACCTGCTGCTCACCACCGGGGGCACCCTCAAAATTTCCGACCTGGGTGTGGCCGAGGTAGGCACGTGCTAGGGGGGGCCCTGGGGCGCCCCCTCCCGGGCACTCCCTGAGGGCTGCACGGCACTGCCACAGGCACTGCACCCGTTCGCGGCGGACGACACCTGCCGGACCAGCCAGGGCTCCCCGGCTTTCCAGCCACCCGAGATTGCCAACGGCCTGGACACCTTCTCCGGCTTCAAGGTGGACATCTGGTCAGCTGGGGTCACCCTGTAAGTGCCCCGGCTCCGCCCCGGCACTCGCCACACGCACAGCCCGGAGGGGCCTCTGCATCTTGGGCAGCTTCTGGCCTGTGGGTGCAGGGCGTAGCCACCAGCCTAGACCCTCGCTGGCCACAGCTGCTGGGGGTGCTAACTTTATGGAGATGTAGCTCACATGGCAGATGGTGGTTCACCCATGTGACATGCAGCCTGGCTTATCAGGGATCTTCACAGAGTGTCACAACCAGTCCTCCTCTCAGAGCCCCACAGGGAAGCTGGGCGGGTGAAGGCTCCAGGCCCCTTCCCTGGGTGGGTCCAGAGGATGCGCCCCTCTTGCCCCATGGCCTCCACTAGTGGGAGGCAGTGAAGACAGAGGTGTCCTTGAGTCCGCAGGGCCTGTGGTCCAGCAGCCACGAGAGGGCTCCGTCCCTGGGTCAGAGGTGGGGCTCCCGGGGCGTCGACCACCTTGACTGACCACACCTTTCTTCCCTCCCCTCGAAATGAAGCTACAACATCACCACGGGTCTGTACCCCTTCGAAGGGGACAACATCTACAAGCTGTTTGAGAACATTGGGAAGGGGAGCTACGCCATCCCGGGTGACTGTGGCCCCCCGCTCTCCGACCTGCTGAAAGGTGGGGGCCTCGTCCCTCTGCCCACAGCCCCAGGGAGGCAGGGCTTTTGTGCAGAAATACAGGGTGGGGGGTGTTAGGTGGGGGGCTGTTGGCCCCGAGACCCCTGCAGGCACTGAGAGGACTGAGTGGAGAGGCCGGCCTCCCACTAGGGCCTGGTTTGCCGGGTCCCTCAGCTCCACCCTGCTTCTGGACCCTGTTCACCTCTGAACTCCCACCCCTGAGGGCAGTGCTACCCTGAGCTTCCCCCAGCCCCGCCCTCGGGGGCTCCCTGGCCTGCAGGGTGTCAGGCTCGTCCTGCTGCACTTCCTGTGTGTGGGCAGCAGGTGGCACTGGCCGTCCGTCCGTCTGCCCAGTGGCCTTGGGAGAATGGACCGCCTTGGCTGTCCAGCCCAGCCCTGTCTCCCAGGCAGCCACGCAGAGGCTGTCCCTGGCCTGTCCCCTGGAGTGGCCTCTGTCAGGGAGGCCATCTATGCGAGGGGGCCCCCCTTGGGAGCATCCAGGTATCACCTGGGGCCTGACAACAGAGGCTGGTCAGGCGGGGACGATTGGCGGGGTCTCGGGCCTGTGCCCGGCTGACTGGCTCCTCACCGGCTTCTCCTCAGGGATGCTTGAGTACGAGCCGGCCAAGAGGTTCTCCATCCGGCAGATCCGGCAGCACAGGTGAGCGGCCCCTGGGGGCAGTGGGGCCAAGACCACAGGGAGGCTGGCCACGTGGGCAGCTGGTTGAGTGGGCGCCAGAGCAGGGCATGGTGGGGGTGCTGGGCTGGGGCCAGACCCCGTGCAGCGCCCGCAGTTCTCAGGGCCCAAGTGGGGTCTCTGGGCAGTGCCCTGTTAGTGGCCAGACAGGCCTTGTCCAAGCTGGGGTCTGAGTGAGGACGTGCATCCGTCCCTGCCCTAGGCATAGAGACACACCGGGAAAGGCACAGCTGGCCCCGAACGCTGGCGAGAGCCCCTCTTTTTACCCTCCTCCTGGGGCTCCCAGCAGCACGGTCTGGTTGGGATCCAGCCACGGGCACCCAGCTCTGCGACAGGGAAGACAGCAGGCCCCGCAGTGCGACCTCCCTCGCCTCGTGGGCTCTGCTCCTCTGCACCAGCCCCTGGAGTCCCTTGAGCCCTGTGCTGGAGCCCCTTCGAGCCCCGAGGCCCCCCAGAGACTGGCTCTGGGAGTGGGAGTGTCCAGACCCCTGAGGCGCTTGTGCCGATTGTGCCTTGGGGATCTCTGCGTAGCTCAGGGGCAGCTGGGAGCTGGGTGGGTGCTGGGGCTGCCCCCATAGCCTCCTGGGTTAGGATGTATTCATGGCCCCCCAGGCCCCTTTCTGGCCTTTGCTGACATCCGTCTGGTGGGTGCTGGCTTCTGAGTGCCACCTGGGAGACAGGCCTGAGGCTGGGCGTGGCGGGGGGGTCAGGCCTCAGGGTGGAGGGGACATCTGTTAGGCTTGGAGTGAGGTCAGGGCTACAGAGTCCTGGCAGCCTGCCTGCTCCAGGAGGGCATGGCTGAGCGTCTGTGGTCACAGCCACCCGGTGTGCGGCCTGGTTCCGGCTCCTGAGCGTGCAGCAGGTACCCTGAGCACAGAGGAGCCAGGTTGGGCAGCTGCACCGTCCTGGTGCAAGCCTGACAGGCACCACTGCTTCTGGGCGTTGGCAGCTGGTTCCGGAAGAAACACCCTCCGGCCGAGGCGCCGGTGCCCATCCCGCCGAGCCCGGACACCAAGGACCGGTGGCGCAGCATGACTGTGGTGCCGTACTTGGAGGACCTGCACGGCGCGGACGAGGACGAGGACCTCTTTGACATCGAGGACGACATCATCTACACTCAGGACTTCACGGTGCCCGGTGAGTCTGGTAGGGGCCCCTGCCCAGCTCTGCTAACTCGGCCGTGATGTCCCACAGGAGCAGGGCGCCTGCCTGTCTGCAGTGAGGACAGCTTCTGCCCTCTGGTGGCCAATCCCACGTCCCCGAAGCCTCCAGCCCACCTGCAGGCCGCCTCCGCCCTGGGGGCAGCTGGGACCCGGCTGACAGGCGTTGGGGCAGCGGGGGCACTGGCCAAGGCCTGTCTGGCCAGGAGGGTTCCCCAGGCGTCTCTCCGGGTGCTGCCTAGCCAGGCACCGCCCACCGGCCTTGGCCTGAGCCCCAGCAGGAGCAGGCGGGGAGCCCCAGGGTCGGGGGCGGGCGGGTGAGAGCCAAAGTGCAGGGTGGCCCCTCAGACAGCTGGCATGAGAGGGTCCAGTGGCCCTCCCTCCCACTGTCCCTGAGGCCTGCCCGCTGGCCCTGATGCCGGCCGCCCTTCTTCCCCAGGTGGCGAGGAGGCGTCTGAGGCAGGGCTTAGAGCGGATCACGGCTCACAGAAGAGCGAGGGCTCAGACCTTTCAGGAGAGGAAGCCTCGCGGCCGGCGCCGCAGTAGTGCCAGAGGAGGAGCTCAGGGCCTTAGCATAGGGGTGGCCGGAACTGGCAGCCAGCCCCTCCCCGCCACGCTCCGGCTTGCCTCTGTTCCGCCTGGGGCTGGGCTGTGTCATAAAGAGCTGTGCAGTGTATCTGCAGATGGATGCTTGCTGTGCTCGGGCTGGAGCACGGCGGGGGCTTTCTGTTTCACTATTTCAGCGTGAAGTGGTGGGCAGGGGCCAGCCTGAGAAGGGGGGTACGCCAGGCAGGTTGGGATGTGAAGATCCAGGGGACAAGGACCACCCCCGGGCCCGAGGGTCCCAGAATAGTGGGGGCCCTGCAGAGAGCCCCCCATTATATCCCTCAGCACCCCCGGGCCCCTCAGCAAACCTCTAGGCTCAGCTCAGTAGCTGGTCCCCAGGAGGGTACAGTGTGAGGACCCCAGGAGAGCACAGTGGGGGGGGCTCCAGGGGGTGCAGTGTGTGGGGCTCCCCTGGAGGGCACAGTGTGGGGCCCCCGGGAGGGTACAGTGTGGGGGCTCCCCAAGAGGATGCAGCATGTGGGGGCCCCCCAGGAGGGTACAGTGTGTGGGGTCCCCCAGAGTCAAAGGGTCTCACCTCCTGGGTTCTTGCATTTGCGGCACCACGTCTGTTGGGACAGGAGGTGCTGCTGGGCACCCTGGTCACTGGGGTGTGCTGGGAGGTGGGGTCCCCTCATGGCGCCCGTCCTTGGGGCCTGGCTGCAATTTGACCCCAGGTCCAGGGCCTTCTGCCTTTCAGAGCCCTGGGGCCCCGAGACGGGCTGTCAGGCAAATCCCAGGCAGGAGGGCCAATTAGGGCAGGGCCAGCCCAGGCAGGCCGCCAGAGCCCTTGCTGGGACGTGGAGCACACGCCGACCCTCACGGCCACCCCTGCAGGCCAGGATTCCTGAGCCAGGAGCCGGCAGGCCTGTGTGAGACTGCCCTGTGTGGGCTGCCCTAGGGTGAGGTGCCGGGGAGGAGGGCAGGGGCTGGGCCACCTTTTTCATGACCCTGCTGAGCCCACTGTGGGTGGTGGGAAGGAGTACCCAGCAGAGGGGGGTCTGCCGGGACTACTTGGCATGGCTGAGGCCTCGGTACTCGGTACTGGGTGCTCAGGCGCTGGGGATAGGCTCAACTTGAGGCTTCAGTGTGAGCCCCAGCCCTGACCTGCAGAGCCCCCTTGCGCCGGGGCAGGACAGTCCAGCGCCCTGGGGTCAGGGTGTCCTCCCCACTCGGCCTGGGCTGCTGCATCGGCCCCTGCATGGCTCCACTTTGGCCTTGCCTGTCCCTACCTAGGATGGGGGTCCTGCTGCCGACACCCAGAACCAGGGAAGGGGCTTGGGGCAGGTCCTGGGCACCAGCGTGGACAGGAGTGTGGGGTGGGAGTCCCAGTGCCTCGTGGGGGCAGGGCCCTGGTGGCGGCTGTGCCACTGATGCAGAGCTGGGGCACCTTGTCTACCAGGTTGGCCCCATGGGAGTGGGCACAGGGTCTGCCCCAGTGGAGATGGGCTGGGTGTAAGACCTATGGGTGCCATTGGTGCCTCCTGACCAAGGTGCTTTTTTTTTTTTTGGAGACAGTCTTGTTCTGTCGCCCAGGCTGGAGCGCAGTGGCACAATCTCGGCTCACTGCAACCTCCGCCTCCCGGATTCAAGCAATTCTCCTGCCTCAGCCTCCTGAGTAGCTGGGATTACAGGTGTGCACCACCACGCCCGGCTAATTTTTGTGTTTTTAGTAGAGACGGGGTTTTACCATGTTGGTCAGGCTAGTCTCAAACTCCTAACCTCGTGATCCACCCGCCTCGGCCTCCCAAAGTGCTGGGATTACAGGTGTGGGCCACCGTGCCTGGCCCAAGGTGCCTTTTTAAAGCCAGTGACTTCCTGTGCACACGGTGGGAGGTGTATGGCAAGTCCTGGAAGCTGCTGAGTCAGCCACTGGCCCCTTCTCGGAGCTGGGGCTCTGCACTGGGCACATGAGCTCTGGGGCAGCCCAGGGCAGCCTCCCACTGACGTCGCCTGGGAGGGGCCTCGGGGGTGGCTCGGCAGCCAGTGTGTTGGCGGAGTCCTCAGACCACCACAGCTCCTGGCAGGGACAGCACGTGGGCAGCTTCCTGCACTTCCCCCGCCATTATGAGGACATTGTCCACCTGGGCAGGGTGGGCAGCCCCAGGCCTGTGAGTTTCACAAGATGCTGGTGCTGGTTGGTGGCCGGCAGAGACTGGGGGCGGCTGGGGGCCTTGGCAAGCTGAGCTCTGTGAGTTCTGTGCTGGCATTTTGCGTGCCTGGCCTGAGCCTGGCCCTCCTGTGTCCTCACAGGTGAGCATGTGGTGGCTCCTGCACCTTTAGAACCAACCATGGGCCAGGGCACCCCAGGGGAGCACGGGGGGGTCTTGCCCTTTCTGCTTGCCGCCTACTCAGGAGGCCCCTGTAGACAGTACCGGGGTGGGGTCCCACCTGGGGCCATGGCAGGTGCAGCAGACGGGGTGGAGGGGACACTCCTCCCAGGCCATCTGTGGGAGGCTCATCCCCTGGGGGTGCCTCCCGGAGCTGCTGGGGGTCAGCATTTCAGGCTGGAGAGACTTGGGCCTGACCCGGGGGCGGGCATGGCCTGGGCCACAGCTGTAAGTGTCTACCTGTGCTGGGGGCCAGCCAGGTTCCTGCGGCTCTGGGGGTGCGGCCCTCGGCTCAGGCCACACTTGCCGTCTCCCTCCCAGGACAGGTCCCAGAAGAGGAGGCCAGTCAGAATGGACAGAGCCGGGGCCTCCCCAAGGCCGTGTGTATGAACGGCACAGAGGCGGCGCAGCTGAGCACCAAATCCAAGGCGGAGGTTAGGGCCCCCAACCCTGCCCGCAAGGCCTGCTCCGCCAGCAGCAAGATCCGCCGGCTATCGGCCTGCAAGCAGCAGTGAGGGTGGCCACCTGCAGGTGGGGCGCGGCGGGACCCAGGCGGGGCATGTGGGGACACTGCATGGATGCCACAGCCAGCCATGAGCATAGCCCACGCCAGTCATGGCGGCTGTCAAACCGCTGCGCATAGTTGCCATGTAGCCTTTGGGTAGCTTGGCCACGTAGCAAGCCCCACTGAGGGTGGTATCTCTGGGCCTGGTGTCTGGCTAGTGTGCTGGTCACGGAGCCCTACGTGTGGCAGGACTCTGGGGGGTGTCGTGCCATCCTCACAGCCATTTAGAGGACCCTGCCCTGGGCCTGGCGCCCCCTCCCCATGCGTGGGCTACTCCCAGGAAAGGCTCACGTTGGGCTCAGCCCAGAAGCTTTTGAGGCATGAGTGAGTGGTGGGTGGTGGGGAGGGGCGGCGACCTCCATGGCCCTGCTGGGCTGCCCCAAGCTCTGAGCCAGCTGCCAGGTCTGGCTGAGGCTGAGTCGTGCCAGACGCTGCCCTGTCTCCCCTGTGTGCCTGCTCCCTCTCCCAGCCCCAGATGTCAGAGACCCTTGTCACTTGCTGAGGATGCGGGGTGGATGGGAGCCCAAGGCTGAACCCCCTGCCTTGCCACAGTCCCTCTCCCAGGTTTTGGGGGCCACTGCCTGAGTTACATGTCTATCCACCAAATGGGTGCTCACAGCCCATCCACCAGTGTCAGAGCCTGCCAGACCCTACTGCAAGAGGCTACACTTAATGTACCCCGGGAGTGACTCAAGGGTGGCCTTCCCTGGCCTCCCCTGCTGCCCCACTGGAGTCCCGTAGCCCGATGACTGCACCTCAGCTTCTCCATCCTCCCAGGAGCCCGAGGGAAGTGGAGAACCGGTACCCAGGCTGACCTCTTCCATCCTCCCTCCCCGCTGCAGCCCGTGTCCAGGAGCCCCGCCAGGTGCCCGAGCCAGGCCCTCAGTCTTCCTGGCGGTCCCGCCCGCCCTCCCGGAGAGGTGGCTGCCATGCCTCTGTGCCGACCGCGCCCCAGGACCTCCGGAGCACCCTGCAGGGCCGGGCAGGGGGACAGCAGGGACCGGGCACAGCCCTCCCCTCGGCCGCCCGGCAGTGCACGCTTGTTGACTTTGCAGCCCGGGGCGGAGCCTTCCCGGGCGGGCGAGGGAGGAGGGAGGCGGCCTCGATGCACTTTACGTGGAGACTACTGGCCCCGCCCGTGGCCTCGTGCTCCGCAGGGCGCCCAGCGCAGTCCCCGCCGCAGACCAGCGGGCGGGTGTGAAGACCAGGCTCCTGGCCCTGCCATGCATGCAGCACCGCCCGGAAGCCGCGCGGCCACTTTGGTTTTGTTTGGTTGGTTCCATTTTCTTTTTCTTTTTTTTTTTTTTTTTAAAAAAAAATAAAAGGGGGATTTGGCTGTGGCTGTGAGGGGTGTTTGGGAGCTGCGGGGTGAGGGGGGGGGCCGTGGGGTTGGGCTCACGTCGCAGCTGCCTTTGCGCGCTGGGGTCACCCTGCTTCGGCCGCCTGGTCTGAGGGCAGGACCCCTCACCTCCCCCAAGGCCACTGCGCTCTTGGGACCCCAGAGAAAACTCGGAGCGAGCAGGAGTGTGCAGTCAGTATTTATAATCATCCAGAAAACAAACACGAGAAACGCCATCGCGGGATGGTGCAGACGCGGCGGGGGCTCGGAGGGCGTGGTGTGGGCGAGGGCGCCCGAATTTGGCAATAAATAAAGCTTGGGAAGCTTGGACCTGGCCGTCTGGGTTTTGTTCGCGTCTCAACATGGACGGGGCGGCAGCGGGGCGGGCGCCGTTCACATGCGGAGGGCAGTGGGGACTCGGGGGCGGGAGGGCCGGGCCGGCTCCCCCAGGGCCGGCGGCAGCAGCGGCGGCGGCGCAGTTATTGCTCGGAGGCGGCGGGGACTGCCGCCAGCACACGCCGCGGTGAGGTAAACGGTCTCGGGGGTCGGCAGTCACGGTGTTGAGCCGCCTCCCGGCCCAGGGCGGTGAACTCGTCTGCGGCCCTTAGCGCCCCGCGGCCCCAACCCGGGCGAGCTCGCGCACGCGCCCGGCACGCGGCGGCTCCATCCGGCCCGGCGGGCTGCGCGTCCCTCGGGTGGCGGGCCCTGCGAGTGTCTAAGTAGCCGCCCGATCCGGGACGGAGGGCAGTTGGTCGTTGTCCTCAGGAGCCCGAAGCTGAGAGCCGTTCACGCCCCTTCCTTCCCGCCCAGCCGGGGTCTCCGCGCCCCGCGCCTCACGACGCGCAGCACCCGGCAAGCACCGGCCAGAGCAGTGCTCACTTCGACCGCGCGAGGGCGGCCGGGGCTCTGCGCGTGCGCCCTGAAGCGGCGAGCGCGCCTCCGTCGCCCGGCGCGTGCGCGAAGGGCCCACGGTTCCAGCGCATGCGCGTCGGGGCGTCGCGCCCCCACGTCTCTCCCGCCGCCGAGGCCCCGCGCGGCGCCGGAGAAGCTGCCAGAGAGATGGGCCCAGGACGCGGGAGTTAGGCCGGGCTGTGGTCGGGGGACGTGGGAGCGGCGGCGACCAATGAGGGAGCCGCCACGACGGGCTCGGAGAGGCGTGGCGGAAAGAGTCTCTCTTCGAGGCCGGCCGCCAGCTTGTCCAGCACCGCTCCGGGGGGTACGACGCAGAGGCCCGAGCCGGGGCAGCCCCCGCCGCCCGGCTCCTCCTCGATGACGGGGATGGCGGGGTCGTCGCCGGCGCCGCCCAGGGTACGGCCGTCGGGCGGGCCGTCCACGCTGTCGCCACGCCGCAAGGGCGCACGCGCGGGTCGGGCCGCACCGGCAGGCGGCGCCGGGGTTCCGGCCAGGGCCGGGGCCGCGCGGGCGCCGGGGTCGCTGTGCTGCCGGCCGCGCTGCCACTGCTTGCGGGCGTGCGGGTGCGCGCGGGCGCGGTGTCGCGCGGCGGCCGGCGTGTCGTCGAAGTGCGGGTCGTGGCGCAGGAACTCGTGGAACAGCGCGTCCGTCTTCTCGTCGATGCTGTAGTCGCGGCGCGGGCGGCGGGGCCAGGCGCGGGGGCTGCGGGGCCGGGCGGGCGCGGCGGGCGGCTCGGTGTCGTCGCCGGCGCCGCGGCCCTCGATGCTGGCGTAGCCGCTGTCCATCTGCAGCAGCCGGCGCGCCTCGCCGTCCTTGGGCCGCGGCGCGGGCGGGGAGGGCGGCGGGAAGGCGGGCGCCGCGCCCCCGGAGCCCGAGCCCGAGCTGTCGCCGCTGCGCACCGAGTCGCGGTCGTTGCCGCTGCTGCTGTGGTCCGAGGCGGCCGCATGCAGCTCGAGCGAGGCGCGCAGGCTCCACAGGTCGCGGTAGCTGGTCTGGGCCTGCTCGGGGCCCGCGTCCCGCTCGGCGTCCGGCTCCAGTGGCGGCTGCTGCTGCTCAGGCCCCGCGCCGCCCGCGCCACGCTCCGGGGGAGAATCGGGGCTCGCTTCTCCCGCTGCCTCGGCCGCCTCTAGCCTGCAAGCCAGGCCGCGCCGTCAGAGCCCGGCCGAGCCCCGCGCCCCCTCCCTGGCCGGCCACCCGCCCTCTGGATCAGGGAGGGTGGGCCCGGGTGGGACTTGGGACTCGGGCAGGCCCTGGAAGGTGAGAGCTTTAAAATGGGCTGGTGTGTTTTGCAGGGAATGGGTCTTGCATTGACCCTGAGCTGTAGCGCCTGCTTCTTAAGCAGGGTGTCTCCATGCTGGACTGCAGACAGCGGGGGCCCCCTCCCTTGGAAGCTCCCAGGAAGAGTCAACGCGCTTCTCCCTGGGAGTCACCTTTTCCCAGCCTCCCAGTGAATGTGGGAGCCGCAGGGGGTAGACTGGATGCGGTTGAGTCCAGCTCAGCCCCTGCTCCAGGCTAGGGCTCTCTGCCCACCCATGCTGGATAAACAGGAGGAGGAGGTCGGTGCACAGACGTGAGGGTCACTCCCCAGACGAGGGCTGCCCCAGGAACCCTGCTCTGCCCCAGCCTCACGCCCCACTCCCATCCCACTGGACGTGGGCCCTGGGCTTCAGGAAAGTTGCCCTTGGGGTTGGGGCAGGAATGCCGCTGGCCAGAGTGGTCACAGCAGCTTCTGAGAAGGGTCTGCCCAGCCCTCGGGAGCGTGGTGGGGGTGGCAGAGGGCCCAGGACCACAGCAGAACCCTTCAGGCCTCGTTCTCCACTAGCAAGCGGCAGTACCAGCGCCATCGTCGGGGGTGGGGCCCCACCTCCCACCCACCCCCCTACCCTTACCCAGTTTCTCCCTGCTTCCCTCCTCTGGTCCATGCTGGAGAGGTGGCCCCAGTGAGTCAGCCTCTCGGAGGGGCCTTGCTGCTGGAGGCGGGTGAGCGCGTGTCCACGGGGCCTGGAGAGCGCTCCCTGGGCCGCCTAGTGGGGGGGCGAAGCGGGGCAAGGGCCCACAGGTCCACCCCTAGCACCTCCATCTACTGAAAAATACCTGCCGAGAGCAGGGGGCGGGCTGGCCAGAAAGGGACGGGGGCGTGGGAAGGCCACGGCGTCACCAGCCCTGGCGATGTACTGGATGAAGTCCTCGTGGGGGGCGCCCCCCTCCTCCTGCTCCGTGCTCTCACTGGCTGCCCGCTGCCGCTGGAAGTGGTGCCGCTTGGGGGAACCTGCGCGGGGGATGTACCGTCAGCGTCAGCCAGCATGTACCTCCACCCTCCACCCCACATGCAGAACGCCTGCGCCCCACCCCCCCACAGAATGCCTGTACCCCCCCACACACAACGCCTGTGCCCTCCCCACACACATACACCACCTGTGGCGCCCCCACACAGAACGCCTGCGCCCACCCCACACACACAACGCAGAGGATGTGCCGTCAGCGTCAGCCGGCATGTACCTCCACCCTCCACCCCACATGCAGAACGCCTGTACCCCCACACACACAGAATGCCTGCGCCCCCCCCACACACATACAACACCTGTGGCACCCCCTACACAGAACGCCTGCACCCACCCCACACACCTGTGCCCTTCCACACAAATGCTTGTGCCCCCCACACACACACTTGTGGCCCCCCACACACACATAGAACACCTGTGGCCCCCCCCCCCACACAATGCGTGTGCCCTGTCACACGCACAGAGAAGTGGGCCCTGGTTTGGGCCAGACTCCAGCTGGCGTCTCCCCAGGCCAGGTGGGTGTGGACAGTGGCTGTATGTACACCCTGGAGTACAGGTGAGGAAACTGAGGCACGGAGGGCAGAGATGCTAGGACCAGAGAGCCTGGACAGGGCAGGGCCAGGAAGCAAGTGAGTAGAAGGGCCTCAGGCACTGGTAGTGCCCCAGGGCAGCCCTGATCAATGTGTGGCCACTCATAAGGACATGTCCTGGACACCTGGTGGCCTGCACAGCCTGGCTCAAACTATGGAAGGCATGACAGTCACATACAGGCTTGGTGGGGACTAATGAGGAGAGGGAGAGCGGTGCCCTGTCCTGCCAGCTCCACCCTGGTCTGGGGAGCGCTGGGGGACTGCCCCCCCGCCCCGCCTCGGCCCCCTCCTCCCAACAGCCTCCCCAGCGAAGCTTGAGTGGGCAGGCCCCAGGGGCAAAGAGGCAGTTACCCAGCAAACAGGTTCTGGGTTGTGCTGCAAGCACATTGGACTCTAAATGTCTCTAGTTGCCACCAGGGCTCCATTCATCTCAAGATCTGGATTCTCTCAGCGGGACCTCGGCAGCCAGAGGAGGCCTTCCCTTCTCTGGCCCCTAGCCACCTTGGGGGTGGGGGTTGGGAGAACTCACCCTACCCCTGCTGGCTGGAACCAGGCCCCAATATGGGGTCTCCCACTGTCTGATGGCGTGTCCTCTGTCACACTGACAGCACCTTCTCTCTGCATTTGTCCCCTGTCCCGGCCTCACCTGACAACTGGACCTGCCACCCCCTCCACAAGGCAGAGCAGGGCTCCAGCCCCTCTGGGCTGCCCTAGCCCTGCTGCCGAAGCTACAGACGGGACCCCTCTGCTCCCGCCACACACTCCTGCCCCAAGCCCAGAAAAGGCAGCCCTGTCTCCAGGATCCTGCCTGACCCAAGGCCTGCAGAATTCAAGGACTACTGTTAAATAGTCCAGAGATCTATGTGCTACAGCCCAGAGGGCAAAGCGCCGCCCCCACCCCCAGCTTCTGTAAGTTTTTCTGGCACACAGCCACGTGCATTCGTCCCGCAGTGCCTCCTGCTGCTTCCTCGCCTCAACAGCAGCACTGAGTTGTGGAGACATAGCCTCTCCGTAACCCCACGAATGCCACCATCCCGGGCTGATGGGAAATGTCTGCTGACCCCTGGCGCAGTCCAACACTTACTTCGTGTCAGAGGAAGCCAGAGCCCAGACAGGCAGAGGGCCTTGGCCAAGGTCACACAGCAGCTGATGCTCTGGCCAGCGGGCGAGGGAGGGGCTCCTGGAGAACTCACCTTCCGCTCACATTCCCAGGGATGAGAGCCCAGCGTGGCCGGGAGGGGATGCAGGCCGCAGGCCCCACCCTCTACACTGCACAGGGACCAGGTGGCCCCCTGACACCCTCCTTTACCACCTCGTCCTGGGTGCCCCAATGACCTGAGAGCAGTCAGGGCGCGCAAAACCCTCCTACACAAGGCACCACAGCTAGGTGGGTCTGGCTCAAGCTGCCCACACACTCAGCCCTCCCAGCCACCTGCAAACCTCAGGCAGGACGCCCGCTGGCAGACCGGGCAGGGCCAGGCCCCAGAGCATTGGCTCCCCACCCAGCCCACAACTTCCTGCTCCTGGATGTCCAGGGCAGCCCCTGGCAGCCACCACCAAGCCCGTAGGGGCCACTCTCCACCAGGTGCCACAGCTCACCTCTCGTGTCCAGACTGGCTGCCCGCTGGCTGGGCTCCAGCTTCCACTTCTTGACCTTGAAGTAGGGGCTGGCCCCGTCCAGGCTGGCATGGCGGCGCAGGCGGGTGAGGAACTGCAGAACGGTACCCGTCCCGGATCCCGGGCCCACCTCCCCAGGTCCTGCTGCAGCCCCGGGCCCTCCAGCCTTGGTGCTCCTGGTACTGGCATCCAACTGGCAGGGAACAGAGATGGCGCTCAGACTAAGACCTCTTCCCGGCCCTGCGTGCTGGCCCCAGATGGCCCTAGGTTGGGAGACAGTCCCAAGGGCGCCCATCACTGGGACAGAGGGGTATCTGCTCGGAGAGGGGCAGAGGCAGGAGGAGGGGCACTCAGTGCCTGGGTGGGCTACACGAGGGTGCTCTGCCCTCCGGGGAAGGTCCCTGGACATGGGGTTTGGAGAGAGGAGAAGGTGTGTGTCTAGGAGCTCTCTCGCCCATGGCATGGGCTGCAGGTGAGGGAGGGCAGGGGTGGTTCACCCTCTCCAGCGCCTAGGGAATGTCAGTGAGGTAGGAGCCTGGGGTGCCCCCTGCATGTGTGAGTACACCCTGTGTCCGGTGTGCGGTCGGCTCCCGCTTTCTCCCGTGTGCAATGACCTGGCGGGCCAAGGAGGGCCGTGGTGGATGGGAGATCATAGGCTGACGTTGGTCCTGGATTGGGGGCAGGGAGGGGAAGGACCCTCCCAGGCTGTGGACACTGTGGGGGACGTGCAGGGGCCCTCACCGAGATGCCTTCCCCAGAGTCGCTAGATGCCGAGGGGCTGATCTCCGCAAAGTCAGTGGCGCCCGCGGCAGAGTTGTAGGGATCACCTGGCAGGGCGGAGCTGGGGCCCACGGAGCGGCCCGTGAGGGCCTTCCCCGGGGGCTGTGGGACAGAGCCAGGTGGGGGAGGAAGCAGTGACAGGTCAAAGAGCATGGGTGGGTGAGGGGCACAGGTGGGTGACGGGCATGCTGGGCTCGGCTCCCTGCCCTGCTCCACCCCACCTCGCCCATCCCAAGATGAGGGCCACCCCGAAAGAGAGTGAGTGAGGGCGTGGGGGCCCAGGAGTCCCCGGGGCTGCCCCCACATCCCCCGAGGAACCCCGATGGCTGCTGCCCATAGGCTCACCTGGAAGATGGCCAAGGTGGTCTTGGGAGAGGTGGCTGGGTGGGGCGTGGCGGCCGAGCTGGCCTCGCCCGAGTCACACTCATGGATGGTGACAATCTTGAGGGGCGGCAGGTGCAGGTGTGTGAGCCGGGCATTCTTCAGGTGGTGGAAGTCCCCTTCCGTCAGTGTGTACCTGCGACAGTATCTGGCCGTCAGAGCCTGTCCACCTCCCATGCCTGATGCCGCAGCTGCTGCGCTCTGCCATCCACCCTGCCAGCCAAGGCCGCCCCACCGCACAGTCCCAGTTCAGGGGCCTCCGCCTTGGTCCCTGCAGCCTCTGTGCGCAGCTCCTCCCCTGTCCCGAGCAGCCATGACCTCAGACAGGCCCTGGGGTACCCCGACGCCACCCTGCTTACCGGCGGCCCTTGTCCTGCGTCTTGCGGCTCTGCTCGAACAGCGCCGCCTCGTTGAAGGAAACCCGGCGGCCAGTGGAGCTGGTGGACAGGAAGCGCTCAGTCTCCGCATCCTGGCTCTCGGGGTCCTCCCCCCGGAAGTCGGGGTCTGCGTGAAGAGGCAGGAGAGGGTGGGCCCCGGGTGGGCCGCGCCAAGCGCCTGGTCCCGGGAGGGCTGCTCGTCGGGCAGCCGGGACAGGGAGGGCTGGGGCCACGGCGCGGGCGGCCGGGCGGGTGGGGCGAGGGACACTCGTCCATCCGCTCACACACTCACTCGCTCAGCACGCGCCTGGGCCCACCTACGCCTGGGCGTTAAGGAAACAGAGATGAGTCGGAATCGAGCTGCGCCCAGTCTGGTGGGGGAGACAGACAGACACAGACGGTCAGGCGGCCCAAGGGGGCAGCAGGTGGCCGAGGGGCAGATGGACAGGCGGGCACACAGCTGGGCTGGCCAGCACCTCACCTTGGGCCGGGTGGGTGCCGTTGTCCAGATAGGTGGTGGTGGTCTTCTCCACTTCCTCCATGGCCCTGGGAGAGACATCGGGAGAGCCCGGTGGCACCAAGGGCCCAGAGAGCTGCAGTGGGTCTCGGCTCTCTACCCCAAGCCAAGGCCCTGTGCATCACCCAGTCTCCAGAGGCACAGCCCACCCTGTGACTCAGAAGTCAGTGAGGTAGGTCCCCATACCCGACTGGTGCCCACAACCACCATGCACCTGCCCAGCCGAGGTGGGGGCCTCGCACCTGTTGAGGCGCTGGTGGACGTCCCAGCAGCGCTTGCAGAGGAGCAGGACGCCGGACAACACCACCAGCGTGCCCCCCACGAACAGCGACATCACCACCACCAGCAGCACGTAGTTGTCCAGGATGGGGTCTGGCTCTGCCTGCAGGCGTGCGGGGGGGTCAGGTGCTGCTGGCCTGGACGACCACCAGCCCCTCCCACCTGTCCCCTGCACCCACCGTGGGGCGTCCAGTGGCGTTGTCCCACGACGTCGTCAGGGCTACTGTGGCAGTGGTGGTGGTGGTGGTGGTGGTGGTGGTGGCGGCGGCAGCAGTTGTGGCCATGGTGGCTGTGGGCTGCATTCTGAACTGGGGAGGAGGGCCCTGTAGGGAGGAGGCCTGGTCAGCTCCAGCTAGGCCTGCTTCTCCTCCAGGAGCCACTGCAGACAAGCCAGGTCTTCCCTGCGGGACCAGGAGCCCACACAGGGGCCAGTGACTCATGGAGAGGTGACAGAGCCAGAGATAGCCTCCACCCGGCTTGGCTCTGGCGAGAGGGCCCGGGGGGGCTCTCTCTGGACCTCCATCTTACATCCCCATGGCAGGGGAGGAGGCCTGGCCCTCTGAGGGTGCGCCTGTGCCCATCACAACCGCACACAGCCGGTGCGGCCTGTCCTGCAAGATAACGCCAGTCCCTGGAGCTCCGCGACGGGAAGGGCAAGCACTCGGAGGAATGGGGACAACGAGGCGAAGCGGCCAGCTCCAGAGGGATCCAGACGCCCTCTCCGCCCCATCACTACCCCTGCCCCAACAAGTTCAGCTACACCCTGGTAGGGCCCACCCCGCCATGGTTGGGTAGAGGGAGACCTCCCGCTGCCCGCGCGCGGGGGAGGGCGCAGGGGCTGGGTGCGTGTCCCCGGGTCACGACTCCCACGACTCTGGGAGGTGGAGGTCCCCCGGTGCTGAGCGCTGGTGGGAGTGCAAGGGACAAAGGAGGCGGATCTGTTCCCGGCCCCGAGAAGCTGGTTCCCATGGCGACCGCGGAGCAGGCCGCGGCTGGGGGGGCGGGTTGCCAGGGAGCGGCGGGGAGGGGGCGCGGGGGCGGCAGCCTTGGGAGGGGGGGCCAGCGCGGAGCCGCAAGATGGCCGCGGCCGCCACCCCGCCGTGCCCAGCCCGGGCGCCCGGAGCATCCCCGGCCACCTTATGCTCGGGGGAAACTGAGGCGGGGCGCGGCACTAGGGAAAGGAGCCCCTGGACATTGCGCGACGCAGCCGGGCGGGGAGGCCCGGGAATCGCAGGGGGTCGGGGCTGGCGCCGGGTGCTCGGCGGCCCCAGGTCGGCACCGCACGCGCGAGGCCTCTCCCGGAGCGAAAGCAGCGCACAGGCGGCAGCCACTCCTGCCCCTCCCCGGCTTCCGCCCACACACGACAGCGGGAAACTGAGGCCCAAAGCCGGGCAGGCTCCTGGCGGGGGCTGCTGTCCTCAGCGCTCCCGGTCACAGGCTGCCCGGGCCCTAGTACTGGGGGAAGGGGCCGCATATGTAGGTCGGGAAATGAGTTCAGGCTGGAGGGGGTGGGGCACAGGCGCAGAATGGTGACCGGAGGCCGGGGAAGATGGCAGGAGGCCGAGGGGAAGAGGGGGACTCCTGGCGGAGGAGACTGCGGGAGTCGAGGGCGGAGGTTCCCCACGGGGCAGCACCGCACCTCCGAGCCGGCCAAGGGGTGGGGATGGCGAGCGAGGGGAGGCAGGGACCCGACGCCAGGGCTGAGCCCAGACGCCATCGTCCTCGCCCGACCTCACAGGGAGAAACTGAGGCTGGGGCGGGGCCTGGGCGGGGGTCCCTCTCCAGGCAGCCAGGTTAGGGGCGCAAGGCCCGGAGCTCGGTCCCCACGCCCGCCGGACTCCTCCGCGCCCTCCCTCCAGCCGTTCAGCCCACAGCCGGCTGCGATCCCCGGCCTGCCCCCCGTCCGCCCCCCGCAGCCCCGGGCCCGCCGCGCCTACCTCAGCGCCGGGACGCGCGGCCCATGGGCGGCGGGCGGGCGGCGGGCGGCTGCGTGGCTCTCCCGGCTGGCTCCGGCGCCCGGTGGCCGCGGAGCAGGCGGAGAATTTATGAATGGAGAGAGCGGCGCGGGGGAGGCCGGCGCGAGAGGAGGGGCCGCGCACGTGACCGCGTTGGCGGCGCGCCCGCTCCGCGCGCCCGGTGCTGCCCCGTCCCCGGCCCGCCGCCCCCGCTGCGCTCGCCGCTGGGTCTGGCTGGCTCCGCGCCGGCCGCCGCCTCCCCTTCCCTTCCGGCGGGGGCGGGGGGCGGAGCCTGCGCTCCCAGGCGCCCACTCCACACGCGGAGCCGCCCCCCGCACCCGCCGCGGCGGCCGAGCCCCGCCCCCGGCCCATCGGCACGATTCACCTCGCCCGGTCCTGAGGTCCCAGGGACGCAGCTCGGGGTGTCCTGGAATGCACGACTCTCTGCAGTCCGAGGTGCGCCGCGTGCGCAGGAGGGCGTGGGGTCCAGGGGGACACGGACTCCCCTCTCACGTTGCTTGGTCCGTGGGGGTTCTGGGGCCGCACAGCCAGGGCCCCTCGGGCACAAATGCAGCCCAGGGTCTCTGGGTACAGGCGCCCCGCCTGCTTCCCCACGCAGGTCCCCTCTGCCACTGTGGAGGGCTCGCCATGCCCCTTCTGGCCCCTGTCCTGTGTGACAGCGATCACAGACCGGCTTAAAGCTGAGCAGAGCCCATGGGGCCCAAACGTGCGCTCACAGAGGTCTGCTCGTGGGGTGACATCAGAACGACACCTGCAGAAACCCAAGTCCCAGAGCTGCCGCTGCTTCTCCCTCTCAGACCATCGGGCCTCACCCTTCAGATACTCAGGCCACACACCTGCCACCAGCCTGGCCCGAGCACCACCCCAACCCCGCTGGGCCCACACCTAACACCCCACAGCGCCTGCTCTTTCTCATCCCAAAGAAAGGCTGACACCGCTGGCCCAGCTCAGCCTCCCCGCCTCTGCCCTTGCGGGTGCTCCGTACCCAGGCGTCTTTGTCCATTCAGCCGAAGATTCACCCCGGTTTCCTTCAACTCCTCCAGCTTCACAGTCTCGGGGATTCTGCTCTTGGCTCCCAGCCTATGTCCAAGTCCCCTCCTCTGCTACGTCTCTCCAAGGCCCTATGCCTTGCGCCTTGCCTGTTCCTGTGTGCTGTGGGACCCCCACTCCGCTAGCTGTGAACTCCAAGGGCAGCCCTTCTCTTATGGCTGGCCCTCCAGGCAGAGGGGCAGCACCAGGGAACCTGGTGCCAGGCAGATGGGAATTGCATGGGCAAAGGTTTCAAGGCAGAAAAGTTTGCAGGTCAGCGCCTGTGGAGGAAGCAAAGAAACCGTCTTGTTCCCAGCAGGACCATGACATAGGCAGGCTTCAGGGTTTTTTGTATTTTGTTTTTGCTTTTTGGAGAGACAGAGTCTCGCACTGTCACCCAGGCTGGAGTGCAGTAGTGTGATCACGGCTCACTGTAACCTCCACCTCCCGGATTCAAGCAATTTTCCAGCCTCAGCCCAGAAGGTAGTTGGGACTACAGGCCCGCGCCATGATGCCCAGCTAATTTTCTCTTCTTGTTTTTGTTTTTGCTTTTTTATGTAGAGATGGAATCTTGCTATGTTGTCCAGGCTGGTCTCGAACTCCCAGACTCAAGAGATCCTTCTGCCTCAGTCTCCCAAAGTGTTGGGACTACAGGCGTGAGCCCCCACACCCCGCCAGGCTTCCGATTTTTAATAAAGACTCGCTATGGCTGTGTGAAGAAAAGGTACCTGTACTAAACAGGCGGAGGCTGGGGCCTGCTAGGCCAGAGACGGTAGCCACGGTGGCCATGCCGGGTGCACAGGCCAGGAGAGGGCGGAATTCCAGAGTAACCCCAGGTTTGGGGCTGGAGTAATGCCGCCCTCACCCGTGGGCGACCCTGGAGTGGGGACGGGAGGGAAGTGGTTCCATGAGTGAGATTGAGTCTATTAGGCCTCCCAGCTTCCTGGAGTGGCAGCTGGATATGAGGTCCCGAGAGCCAGGAGAGGACGTGGTGCACAGGTCATGCCTAGAAAAGTGAGCGGGGCTTCCCCTCTGCACCCCCCGAACCAGGGCCAGAATGACCAGGCCCCAAGTGACCCTCACAACTCTGGCCCGCGGGGAGGAGCCAGGCCCAACCCTTCATCCTGAGTCCGGCCAGCAGGGCCTTCTTCAGGTGCCCGGGTTCCAGAGGACAGGAGCGCCCGCCACTGCACTGGCCTGAACACGGGCAGGGGGCGAGGGTGCAACCTCCCGGTGTAGGGAGCCACGGATGGTGTCGGACAGCCCCAGGCCCTCCCCAGATCCCTGCACCCCTGGGGTCCAGCAGCCCACAGCGCTAGGCACAAGGCCCTTTCCGAGGAGCCCGAGCCCCAACCCCCGCCATCCCCAACTCCGCATTTTCCCGGAGCCTGAAGAGGGGGGCTTGGGGCCCGGACGGGTGCCTCGGACCTGCGTGAGCGCGGGGGCGGGGCAGTGACGTCATGGCCGCGAGCGAGGCTGCGCGGGCCGCTGGCTGACGGCAGCGGAGCCCCGAGCCGCCCGCGCACGCGCTCCTGCGTCAGCGGCGCGCGGGGGCGAGGGCCAGGCAGGAGGTGGGGGGCGGTGAGCGCATCTCTGGGCGCTGAGCGCCCTCTGCCGGCGCCGGGGTCCGGGGTTCCCAGCGAGCCCTCCCGCATCGCCCGCTCCTGCCCGCGCTGTGCCCCTGGCCGCGGTCGCCGTTCCCTAGAACCGCGGCACCTGCAGCGTTCCACCCTGTCCCATCCTGCACTCTTTCTCGACTTTTACTAATATTTATTTTTGGCATTTGTCACCACCTATCACTACTACCTGCTTATTTTTTAATTAATTAATTAATTAATTTTTGAAACAGAGTCTTGCTCTGTCGCCCAGGCTGGAGTGCAGTGGCGCGATCTCGGCTCACTGCAACCTCCTCCCCCCGGGTTCGAGCGATTCTCCTGCCTCAGCCGCCCGAGTAGTTGGGATTACAGGCGCCCGTCACCATGCTCGGCTAGTTTTTGTATATTTAGAGACGAGGTTTCGCCATGTTGACCAGGCTGGTTTCAAACTCCTGGCCTCAGGTGATCCGCCCACCTCGCCCTCCAAAGTGCTAGGATTACAGGCGTGAGCCACCGTGCCCGGCCTGATCTGCTTATTAATGATCTCAAATGTCTGCTAAACGACCCCCGGCCCCAGAGCAGGATTCTCACTCTGTCGCCCAGGCTAGAGTGCAGTGGTGCAATCATAGCTCACTGCAGCCTCAACCTTCTTAGGCCCAAGCGATGCTCCCACCTCAGCCTCCCCAGTAGCTGGGACTACAGGCGTGCACCACCATGCCAAGGTAATTTTTTGATTATTTGTAGAGACAGGGTCTCCCTATGTTGCCCAGGCTGGTCTCGATCTCCTGGGGTCAAGTGATTCTCCTGCCTCGGCCTCCCAAGGTGCTGGGATTACAGATTGGAGCCACCACACCTGGCCCAGAATAGGAATCTTGATGTTTTCTTGATGTCTATCCAGGACCCTGCATCCAATGAGCGCCCCAAATATCTTTTTTTTTTTTTTTTTTTGTACAGACAGGTCGGGGGCGGGGGCGATCCACACTGTTGCCCAGACTGGTTTCCAAGCCTCAAGTGATCCTCTGGGCTCAACCTCCCAAAACGCTGGTATTACAGGCGTGAGCCACCAGGCAGCCCAATCTTGAATTTCACTGAAGCTCGTTTTACTCCCTCCACCTCCCAGGACTGTCTCACCACCCTTATCTGACCCCCTGCTGGATAAGGGGCCAGAACAAAACTGCAGCCGGGGCCAGAACAAAACTGCAACCCCCAAAATACCCCACGACGGGGCGTTGCGTCCTCAACGTCGACAACGTCGCGTGCGCCCTGCTGGGAGTAGTAGTTCGCGCTTGCGCTCTTGCCAGGACTCCTCCTCCCAGACGTCCCTGCGCGTCGTCCTCCTCGCCCTCCAGGCCGCCCGCGCCGCGCCGGAGTCCGCCGCCCGCCCGCCACCCGCTTCCTGCCGCCGGTCGCTGCCATGCTGCCCGCCGCGCTGCTCCGCCGCCCGGGACTTGGCCGCCTCGTCCGTCAGGCCCGTGCCTATGCCGAGGCCGCCGCTGCCCCGGCTGCCGCCGCCGGCCCCAACCAGATGTCCTTCACCTTCGCCTCCCCAACGCAGGTTCGGTCGCTGCGGGTCGGGACCCTCCGTGGCCGCCGCCCCCGGAGTCCAGGGTCCCCACCCCTAGGGCGCGACCCCCCGCTTCCGGGTCCCCGGATCCGCGCGCCCCGGAAGCCGAGGTCACTCAGTCCTGGACCCTCGGCCCTGCCTCTGCCGCCCGAGCCCTGCGCTGCCCTCGTCCCGGGCACCTCCCCGAGATAAGCGCCCCCTGAGTGCCCTCCCCGATCTCCCTGGCCAAAGCCTGGGTGTCGCCGGATCGTTGCATTCCCATTTCGCGGATCAGTAGAATGAGGCGCAACGTTGAGGACCAAAGCTGCAATCTCTGATCCTGCACTGGGCTGTCTCAGTGTCTCACATCAGCGCCCGGACCCATTTCTCAGCAGGACAGGCCGAGTCCGGGGTGGGCGCGGGGCTGCCCTGCCCCGCCATCATTCCCCACGCTGTTGTCGCAGGTGTTCTTCAACGGTGCCAACGTCCGGCAGGTGGACGTGCCCACGCTGACCGGAGCCTTCGGCATCCTGGCGGCCCACGTGCCCACGCTGCAGGTTCTTCGGCCGGGGCTGGTTGTGGTGTATGCAGAGGACGGCACCACCTCCAAATACTTCGGTGAGTCCGGTGGAGGGCTGCAGGGCCAGGCTAGACCGGTGCTGCACATCCCAGGTCAGTCTCCGTCTCAGTTGAGGCTGCGAGAAAAAATAGTTCTAGGCACGGTAGCTCAGGCCTGTAATCCCAGCACTTTGGGAGGCCGAGGCAGGTGGATCACCTGAGGTTAGGAGATCGAGACCATCCTGGCTAACACGGTAAAACCTCATCTCTACTAAAAATATAAAAAATTAGCCGGGCGTGGTGGCGGGCACCTGTTGTCCCAGCTACTCGGGAGGCTAAGGCAGGAGAATGGCGTGAACCCAGGAGGCAGAGCTTGCAGTGAGCGGAGACTGCGCCACTGCACTCCAGCCTGGGCTACAGAGTGAGACTCCATCTCAAAAAAATATATATGTATATATATACAGAAAACTAGTTGGGTGTGGTGGTGGCCGCTTTAATCCCAGCTACTCAGTAGGCTGAGGCAGGAGAATCGCTTGAACCCTGGACGCAGAGGTTGCAGTGAGCGGAGATCGTGCCACTGCACTCCAGCCTGGGCAACAAGAGTGAAACTCCATCTCAAAAAAGAAAATACAGTTTTAGCAGGTTTGTCCACTGAGGAGCCTGGGCTGGGCGGTGATGAAAGCGAACCAGAGGGGACTCTGCTCTCAACCGGTTTATGACTGGCTCTGGACTAACCAACGTGTGATGGGTGAAGCAAGAGATGTAAAACCACCCAGGTCCAGTGGCTCATGCCTGTAGTCTCAGCACTTTGGGAGACTGAAGTGGGAGAATCGCTTGAGCCCAGGAGTTCGAGAGTAGCCTTGGCAACATAGTGAGACCCCGTCTCTACAAAAAATAAAAACAAACTAACGAGGAGAGGCTGGGTGCGGTGGTTCACACCTGTAATCCTAGCACTTTGGAAGGCTGAGGTGGAAGGGTCTCTTGAGCCCAGGAGTTTGAGACCAGCCCGGGCAACATAGTGAAATCCCATATCTACAAAAAATTAGCTGGTTGTGGTCCAGCTACTTGGGAGGCTGAAGCAAGAGGGCCGCCTCAGCCGGGGAATTCAAGGCTGCAGTGAGCTACGATCATGCCACTGCACTTCAGCCTAGGTAACAAGAGCGAGATCCTGTGCCAAAAAAAAAAAAAAAAAATCCTCAAGAAACCATGTTAGGAGGGCTGATCAGATTAGGGGAGGAAGGTCATTTATGCAGGAAAAAAGCAGTTTTAAGCATCACTGGTTTCCAATGGTAGAGCTGGGTTTGAACTCAGCTTGCTTTTGGCCCGGATCCCAGCTCAGCCATGGGTGGTGGGTCAGAGGGAGGTCTCTGTCCCCAGGTAGTGCTTTTGGGGGTCCCTCCAGCTTCTAGTTCTTTCTTGGGGCCCCTGTTTTGTTCTCTAGCAGTTGCCCCCCATGTTGGGCCCCAGGGCCAGTCCTATAGGTCTGTTGGCACACTCAGGACACAGACTTGAGTGTTTGTTGAGCTTCTGGTTCACAGGGGGCTCTGCACTTGACCAGGGGCATCCCTGAGGCTGTCTGGCCCTGTGAGGTCTCACACCTTCCCCCCACCCCATTCCCCCAGTGAGCAGTGGTTCCGTCGCCGTGAACGCCGACTCTTCCGTGCAGTTATTGGCAGAAGAGGCGGTGACGCTCGACATGTTGGACCTGGGGGTGAGTGCCAGAGGGGACCTGAGGCTCACCAGGGCGGGAGTTGTCCAGGCTGCGGGGGAGGGAGTGCTGGGGGACCAGGAGCCGGGCTGGGGTCCCTGCTGGCCCCTCACTGCCCCTCAATCCCTTGCAGGCAGCCAAGGCGAACTTGGAGAAGGCCCAGTCGGAGCTGTTGGGGGCAGCTGACGAGGCCGCTCGGGCAGAGATCCAGATCCGAATTGAGGCCAACGAGGCCTTGGTGAAGGCCCTGGAGTAGGCGGTGCGTACCCCGTGTCCCGAGGCCCGGCTAGGGGCTGGGCAGGGGTGCCAGGTGGGCCCAGCCAGCTCCTGGGGTCCCGGCCACCTGGGGAAGCCGTGCCTGTCAAGGAGGCCACCAGAGGGCAGTGCAGGCTGCTGCCTGGGCCCCAGGCCCTGCTTGTGTTTAAAGCCCTGGGGACTGGGGCAGGGACAGACGATCCTCCTCAGCTTTGAGCTGTGGCTGCCACCCATGGGGCTCTCGTTCCACCTCTCAAGATCCCCCCAGCCTGACGGGCCGCATACCATCCCCTCTGCCCTGCAGAGCCAGTCGCCAAGGTCCACCTCGGCTTCGGAGCCACCTCTCTGGATGAGCTGCCCCCAGCCCCCGCCCCATTAAAGACCGGGAAGCCTGACTGCTCGGCTCTTGTTACTCCACCTGGCCCGGGGAAGCCGGGAGCGTCCGGGGCCTCTGCTCACGTCCTCCATGTCCCCCTGGGAATAGGGGCTTTGAGCTCCCTGGACTGAATGCCCTTTAGGGCACCGGGAGGTCTGTAGGAAGCAGGCTCGAGGGGGTGGGTGGGGTGCAGCCGGGCGGGCAGGGTGCTGACCTTCACCCTACGATGGTGGGGAGGTTGAAGGTCGCCAGTGATGGGGACATCGGGCGGGGAGGGGTGTCCCCGCTGCTCCTGACGCCTCGGCCCAGTTCCTGGTCTCCAGGCCTTGACCCTGAGCCCTGCCAGCCCTTGGCCCCGCCCACCAGCCTCTGGGAAGAGGCGGGCCCCACCCGCTCCCACGGTGGCCCCGCCCTGTGCCCGCCCGTCCTGTGGGTGGCCCTGCCTGGCTGGGTGCCGAATCTGCAGTGTTTTTGGCACCTCCGTGGGCACCTAGGCTTCTGGGTTGGCCCCAAATGGAGTGGGGTAGACCCAGGAGGGGGTGGCTCCCTGGCACTGCCCCGCTGGGCCCGCCTCTTCTCCTTTCTGTAACCCTGGGGGCAGGTGACACTGGCTCCAGGTGGTGTGCGGACGGCGGGGGTGGGGTCTCCTGATCTCCTCCCCTCCTTGGGATAGGGCCCTGTGGCGTGGGGTAGGCAACGGATTCCAGGGGGGTGAGTGGGGAGGGTGGGCCTGCCTGTGTCACTGGAGCTGGGATGGTGACAGAGGCCACCCCGGGCCTGTCAGCACGGACGGGCAGCTTACTCCCACGTCATAGTCCCATGCGGGTGACTTGCCACGGCTCCACTTCAGGCCAGGTACCATTGGGGGCCTCCAGGTGTGCTTGTGACTCTGAGGCCACCGGTCAGCAGATCAGGTATTCCGGAACAGCCCAGGGTCCTCTGCCTGGCTTCCTCTCCGCTTGGGCCTGAGGGCACGAGTGACCAGGCCCCCACTTCTCCAGGAACCCCTAGCCCAGGGAAGGCTGTGGCAGCCACCAGGCCACAGGAGCAGTCTCTGCCCAGGCCTCACCCTCCCCGCTCCCCGGCTGTAGCCCCAGGTCTTCGAGTTCCTGCTAGGCCACCAGGACCCTATAAATAAGACCGAGGGCACAGCTGGGACTTGGCAGGAGCTCAGGGGAGGAGCCGCTCACTCTGGGGACCCCCCTGCCCCCACCGCCAGGGAGGTGTGAGCCTTGGAGCCAGGCCTCAGGACACCCGAGACACCTGACACCCTGAGGGAACAGCCCGTGCTGGCCGGACGCGTCCTGGAGCAGGAGGCAGCCAGGGTGGGGCCGGGACCAGGCGGTCAAGGCCCTTCCGTGAGGACAGCCAGGGGCTCAGTGCGGCAGAACAGAGCACGGGGTTTGTCTCCATCACACCCAGGAACAAGTCACTCAACCATGGGGACACTGAATATGGGAAATGGTGGGGAAGCGTTTTAGCACGTTTATTCAACTGGCTCTGGGCATCTGGTCCCCAAAGGGCACACAGTGGCCCCCGTGAAGCCCAGCATGTCCCTCAACCCATGTCCCATTCCACTCCCGACCAGACCGAGGTGACTGTGTCCATTTCACTCCCGACCAGACGTGACGGCATCCAGGGCTCTCCCACAACCCATGTCCCATTTCACTCCCAATCAGACTGAGGTGACGGTGTCCAGGTGATAGAGCCACACATGAAAGGCGAGAGGCAGGGAGGGAGGTGGGGGCTGCTGGCCACTCAGAGAGGACCCCAATGTCCTGCCCGGGCTGCCCATTTGGTGCCAGCCCACAGCTCCCTCCACCACCTTTGTTCTCTCTGGAAGTAGAATAAGCCAGGCTCTGCAGGTCCCACCTGCGGCCCCAGCCTGTCATCCAGGCCCCATTAATAGACTCCTGCCCCTCCTCCCTCCAATTGGGCCCAGTTCACTAATAAGCCATTCCCACTTCCTGGACCACTTTTTTTTTTTTTTTTTTTGAGACGTAGTGTCACTCTTGTTGCCCAGGCTGGAGTGTGGTGGTGCTATCTGGGTTCACTGCAACCTCCGCCTCCCAGGTTCAAGTGATTCTCCTGCCTCAGCCTCCCGAGTAGCTGGGATTAGAGGCATGCGCCACCATGCCAGGCTAATTATATATTTTTTAGTAGAGACGGGGTTTCTCCATATTGGTCAGGCTGGTCTCGAACTCCCGACCTCAAGTGATCCGCTCACCTCAGCCTCCTAAAGTGCTGGGATTATAGGCGTAAGCCACTACGCCCAAATTTTTTTTTTTTTTTTTTTTTTGAGACAGAGTCTCGCTCTGTCACCCAGGCTGAAGTGCAGTGGCGCAATCTCGGCTCACTGCAATCTCTGCCTCCCGGGTTCAAGCAATTCTCCTGCCTCAGCCTCCCAAGTAGCTGGGACTACAGACGTGTGCCACCACACCCAGCTAATTTTTGTATTTTTAGTAGAGATGGGGTTTCACCATGTTAGCCGGGCTGGTCTCGATCTCTTGAGCTCGTGATCCACCTGCCCCAGCCTCCCAAAGTGCTGGGATTACAGGCGTGGGCCACCGCACCTGGCCACATCATCTTTTTTATGTGACAAACTGCTACTCATTCCTCAAACCCCAGCCCCGGTGACCCCCTTCCAAGGGTTATCCCAGCCTCTCCCTCTCTGGCCTAGCCCTGACCCTGCGGGGTTGGGTGTGCCTGTCAAGGTGGGGGCCACAGCTGCCGGGAGCATGGGTGGCAGCCGGAAGGAGACCTGAAGCAGAGCGCAGCCCTGGGAGAAGCGCCCATGGCCAGGGTGGGGGTGGAGGTGGTCAGGCCAGATAAAGGGAGGAGCCAGATAAGTGGACAGGAGGTGCTCCAGTGGGGACGGGGTCCCCTTCTCTGGATAGAGGGGCAGACAGGGACCCACCTCAACCAGGGCCATCCTCAAAAAGCCGACTGGGAAGGGTAAGATGCACACCACATTCCTGTCTCATCGGCTGTGGCCTCAGTTTCTTCATCTGTAAAATGGGGTAATGCCCACCCCAGAGGCTGGGAACCAGTGCATGTCCTACATTAATGGGGGGGTGATGACCCCAGAGTGAGCCTGCTGCATCCCCTCACCACACTCCCACCCACCCTGGAGAAGCTGAGGCTGGGAGAGGCCAGTTACCTCCCGAGGTCACGGCATAGCCGGCTGGTGACTGGCTGGGCACAAGGCAGGCCTGGCACTGGCTAATCGCTCCATAAATGCCCTCTGAGGTCACCATTGACAGATGCAGGAGGCCAGGGCTGGCCAGGGCACCCCCACTCCACGGCAGGTGACTCCAGCCTGTTTTCCTGGACGACGGCCGCTGACTCAGGCCCCTCTTCCCGTCCCCCCTACGCGGGCGCCCCCAGGCGGAAGCACCAGGCCTGGGGCGGCAGGAAGGGGGCGGGGCAGGGAGTCGCACTGTACACCCCGAAACCCTGTCCCGGTGACGATTCGGGGTGCATCCGAGCCCGTGGCAAGGCAGGCCGAGACCCCTGTATCGGGGCATTCAAGGGGCGTCCCCCCATGAACTGCGCCAAGCCTGGGTACGGGGTGGCCCAGCCGCCAAGGCGCCCCAGGGCCCGGGCCGGCAGGCAGGGGCGGGGGCCAGTCTGCGTCACCGCCCGCCCGGCCCCCCGCCCCCCTGCCCGCCCAAACTCCACCCCGAGGGAAGGCGGCGCGGATAAAGGCTGGGGGCCGCCCGCTTGGCCCAGACCGGCCCGGCCAGCGCGCATTCAGTCCCGGACGAGGGTACTCGCAGCACTTGAGACGCAGGACCGGCCGTGCACGGTGAGTAAGGGGCGGGACCTGCGGGCCGAGGAGAGGTCCCCACTCTAGACGACTCAGGATGCCCGCACTTTTCTTTGTTCTTGGGACAGGAGGGGTTCGGGGTGCCTCTGGTCCTGGGAAGCCCCCCGGGGTGCGGGGTGGGAGGGGCTCCGCGCAGCCAGCACCGCCCTGGCCGGACCTCAGCCCCCGCCCCGCCCCCCAGGCACTCCCCCTTCCCCGCGAGTGACCTTGAACTGGTTGCCATTCCGGCCTGCGTTTCCCAGCCACGCGGTCCCAGTCTCTCGACTAGTCTTTCGTCCCTGATCGGGATTCCTCCCCCGCGCGCAGCCCCGTCGTCCTCCTCCCCTGCCAGGGGCAGCGCGGCGCCCCCTCCCCGGGACTCCGGGCGGCGCTCCCAGGCGGGCTCGGCAGAGGGCGCGCCCGAGCTGCTGACTCACCGCATCCCCGAGCGCGCGCGGGCGCAGCCGGGGACGCCGCGTCACGTCACGGCTCGGGCGGGCGCGCCTCGGGGAAACGGGTTCTGCCTGGGGCCGGGGGGTGGGCTCGCGGGTCCCCGGCAGCAGCCACCCGGCCACGTCACCGAGGTGCGGGAGCCCCGCCCCAGCCCCAACTCCGCCCCCACTCACCACGCCCTCCCCGGGGGCCGCGGCCCTAGCCGCCCCGTCGCCCGCCCGCCCCGGGACCCCGGCCACGAGGCGCAGACTTCGCGCTCCCGCTTCCGCTCACGGCTCTTCCCGGACGGACGCGGCGGGGTGGCCCCACGACTTCCTGCCCCTCCCGGCGCCGGGAACAATGGCCCGCGCCCCCTATCGCTCCCAGGTGGCTCCCCGGAGATCGTAAGGGGGACGAGGCCCGTCTCAAGGCCGGGGTCCCGCGCCCCCCGGGACGCGCCCGCCCTTTGTTACGGGCTCCGGGCGCTTATGAATGGCTGCGGGCGCGGGCTGGGCGGGGGAGGGCGCGGAGAGGCGCCAGCCCCGCCCCCGCTGCGCTCCCCTTGGGCGCCGGGGCGCCGAGGGCGGGGCGAGAGGCGGGCCCGGCCGCCACGTGGGGCGGTGCCGCGACGGCTCTCATTGGCCCGGACTCGCAGCCGACTGGGCGCTCCGCGTGCGGCGATTGGCCGGCGCGGGGCCGGCGGAGTAAGTAGTGAATGGGAGGGGGCGGCGGCCCCGCCCCCTGGAACGTTGATACATTATAACTTTTTTTTCTTGTTACTTTCACCCCCAGATCCTCGGAGCGGCGGCGGCGGCTGTTGCTAAGGGAGGGGACGCGCGAGGAAGCGCGACCCGGCCTGCAGACGGCACCCAGCGCCACCGGCCGAGCGGCGCCCCCTCCCCAGGAGCCTCCCCCGCGCCGCGCCCCGGTCGCACCCGCCGCCCTTTAAAGGAGAAGCGAGTGCCGTCCCCACCCCCGGAAGGCGCCCCCAGGAGCCGGAGCGACCTCGGAGCGCCACTCGGATTTTGGATTTCGGTCTCGCCTTCCGCGGCTGGGACTTTCTCGAGGAGGACACGCGCTGCTCCGCGCCCCCGAGTGCCCGGAGGACCCGGCATCCGGGAAGCCCATAGCCCCTGTCCCGGAGGCACGGCAAGGATTGGCGGCGCCCGCCGCCCCCAGGCCCCCAGCGCGCGCCGGGGATGGAGCCGCAGCCCGGCGGCGCCCGGAGCTGCCGGCGCGGGGCCCCCGGCGGCGCCTGCGAGCTGGGCCCGGCGGCCGAGGCGGCGCCCATGAGCCTGGCCATCCACAGCACCACGGGCACTCGCTACGACCTGGCCGTGCCGCCCGATGAGACGGTGGAGGGGCTGCGCAAGCGGTTGTCTCAGCGCCTGAAAGTGCCCAAGGAGCGCCTGGCGCTTCTCCACAAAGACACGTAGGTACCGCGCGCCCCCGGCCGGCCGCCCCCTCGGGCCCCGGCCCCCGGGCGGGAACAAAGAGCGCGCCGCGCGGGGAAGGCAGGGGGCGGCCAGACGGGGGGCGGGGGCGCGCCGCGCGCTCTCGGGCGCCCTCTGCTCGGCCTCGCCTGCTTCGGCCCCCTCCCCCGCCCGGGGTCGCAGCACAAAGGCGGCTGCGAGGGCGTCCCAGGCCCGGCTTCGGCGGCCCCCCTTGGGGGCGGGCAGGAATCCCAGGGCGGCGCGGGGGTCCCGGCTGCGGGCGCGGGGGCCGCCGCCGCCCCCTCCCGCTTGCGTCCGCGCCGGCTTCCGCATCTGCTCGGCGGCCTCCTCTGCGTCTGGCTGTCTCCCCCCACTTGCGTCTCTCTCCCCCCTTTGTTCTCGCCTCCGAGCGCTCCCCGCAGCCTCCCCTCCCCCCTGGTATTTAAATCGCCTGCAGGCCCGGAGCCCTCCCCCCGCGAGCCTCCGGGGACACGCAGTGTCCATCCCAGCGGAGGGGCCCGGCGGGGGAGGGGCGGAGGGGGAGGGTCTCCTTTGTCTGCGCGGCGGCGGCCTGCGCTGGGGAGGTAGGAGGAGGGAGAGCCCGGCCCGGCGCAGCCCCCAGGGCCTCTTCTCGGGCCGAAGCCCGTGGCGCCCACAAAGACGAGCCAGGGCTAGAGTTGGGGAATTGGAGGCAGGGGCTGCTCTGGGGGCGCGGGAGAAGGTGGCATAGAGCACACTGGGGCCCAGACGAGGGGAAAGTGCCTGGTTGGGGTGCAGAGGGGGTGCCAGAGTGCCAGAGTCCAGGGCGGGGGTTCCACTGGAGGGAAGGGGTCCGAATCGCCAGGATGGGGCTCCCAGTACCAGACGGAGACCTCTGCATGCGCTCAGGGCCCTGGATCTGGAAGCCGGGAAGGGTTGGGGGTGGGAACCTATCCGTCTCTCCCCACACAAGCACAGCCCTCCCCCGCGGCCTCTGCTTCCGCGGCCCTGTATCGTCTCCGCGGAGTCTCATGCTCTTCTTTCCTCCCCCCAGCCGGCTCAGTTCGGGGAAGCTGCAGGAGTTCGGCGTGGGTGATGGCAGCAAGCTGACCTTGGTACCCACCGTGGAAGCGGGCCTCATGGTAAATGGCCATGGGGCTGCGTGCCCCCCGAGGACCCCGCACACAGGCAGTAGCCCCTTCCTCGGCACCTGTCCGCGTACACACACTACCTGGGGCCCCCACTCCGCCAGCCAGCAGGGCCCTCCCCACCCCATGCTCCAGCCTGTGATTCCGACCCCACACTCAGGCCCCTCTCCTGCCTCTCTTTGTAGTCTCAGGCCTCAAGGCCGGAGCAGTCTGTGATGCAAGCCCTCGAGAGTCTCACGGAGACGCAGGTAAGACCTCGCCAGCCCCTTCCTAACAGGGCAGTCCCGGGGGCAGGGTGCCTCGGCCACCGATGGTGCCTGGGAGTTGTCTGTGTTCCCAGGAGGCTGGGGGAGGGGAGGGGATGTGCCACTCTGCCTGGGTGCCAGCCTGGCCTGGCCTCCTCACCTCCTCTCCCCCAAGACTCACCACCTGACCCGGAGGGTTTTCTCTCCCACGGTGGCTGCCCTGGGGGAAGGAGACCTGGCTTTCACAAGACTGCCTGCGGGGTGACCTTGGCCCACCGGGCCTCATCCCTGCTCACACCCTGGCCTGCATCCCCAGCCCCCTCTGGCCCCCGCCGAGGAGCCCCCCCACCCCCCCGCCCCCAGTCTCTGTGGCTTCCCCAGAGCGAGTTTCTCCTTTTTTACATTTCTGCTAGGGGCCGGGGGCGGCGGCCTGGGTGACACTCCTTCCGCCTTCCGTGACCCCATCGTGAGAGGGTGGGGATCTCGTCACCCCCTCCTCCTCCTCTTCTCTCTGGCCTTTGTTCTCTACCCTGAAAGAGGAGGGGGCGGGGGCGCCCAGCCCTGGGGCCAGTGAGGCCTAGACAGGATGTTAGGAAAATATTTAGTAAGCGGCCAGGAGGGAGGCTGGGGCTGGCCCTCACCCGGTTCCCGGTTTTGCTGCGGCCTTTTTTTTTTTTTTTCCTCCTTCTTTCCTCATTTTCTTGGCTGCGGCTGAGCCTTCCTCAGACAAGGGCCCTGGCCACCTCCCAGGAGGGTGACACAGGCCTCAGCAATCCGCCCGCTGCCAGGGTGGAGGACGCAGGCTGCCACCCGCCCCAGCGAGGGGGTGGCCAGCTTCCCGGGCCTCCCTGGCCCCAAGGCCCGTGCCCCCTTCTTCCTTCCCAGCGACATGTAGAGTCCTGCACCGAGGGGGCAGGGCGGGGGCCGGGAGCTGGGTGGTCTGCCAGGGGGGTGGCCACAGCAGCAGCAGCGGTGGCGTGGGGGCAGAGCCGGGGTCCCGAGCCAGGCTGGGGGCTGCAGGTGATTTCCTGGGGCGAGTGTGAGCAGAGCTCCCCGCTGCTGGGGGGCTGCGGTTGGCAGGGGGCCCAGGGCGTGTTGGCTTCACACCCTCCTCCCTGGGCGCCTGCGTCAGGAAGGAGCTGGGGTGGGGGGGCTGGGCGGAGACACTGGTCTCCCCAGGGTAGCTTCCCTGCCTGGCACTGAGTCCTGCCCGCCCATTTACCCTCCCCAGGGAGGAAGTTGCAGGGCGGGTGGTGGTGGGGACTCCAGCTGCTCTCGGGAAGCCACCTCGGGCCCTTCCTGCAAAGGCTGTCTTGGGGCAGGGGGGCCGGGCAGGCTGGGCCTCAGGGTGGGGGCTTTGCCCTGCCCTCCTCCCTGCCCCCCTCCCCACGGGCCCCAAGCAGAGAAGGTTACGCCAGCCACTGCCAGCGGAGAGCCAGGAGGGAAAGCTGGGAGGCGGTCGGTTCTGAGTCATCCCAGCCTATGTCACTTCTCAGAAACCTCCACCCCCCCCATCCTGGCCCCTGGGGAGAGCAGGGTTCTGGCCTGGACCCAGAGCAAGGGGCTTGGTGAGGACAGGGTCAGATCCAACCCACACCCACCCTGAACGGGGGCAGATTGAGGGTTTCTGTGCTTGGGGCAGGTTGTGCCCTCTGGGACTCCAGCCCCAGGGCGGTCAGGGCCTCTTCCTGCAGCCTTGCCGCCGCCCCCTCGGCCTCCGCCCCGCCCAGGACAGATAAATATTTATCTTGAGAAAGCAAAGGTTAGGACAGAAGAATTCGTCCAGAAATTCCACCCACTTGCTGGCCTTGGTGACATCGCTGGGAGGGGGCCTGAGATGGAGCCCCTCCCGCATCCACAGGCAGAGAGGATCTAGGGGCCCATGAGGGTGGGGGAAACGCAAAGTGAAGGTTGTTTGAGGTCAGCGACTGCCAGCTGGGCCCCGTCCCCTCTGGCCTCAGTTTCCCCTTGCAAGAACTGACCGAGTTGGCCAGGGAGGGGCAGGCCCCCGTCTGACCCGCCTCTGTCCCCACAGCCCCCAGCGGCGCCCGGGCCGGGCCGGGCTGGCGGAGGAGGCTTCCGGAAATACAGATTCATTTTATTTAAGCGTCCGTGGCACCGACAGGGACCCCAGAGCCCAGAGAGGGGCGGCGAGAGGCCCCAGGTCACAGCGCGGGGGGACTGGGCCGGGCTGGGCTGGGGGCGCCACAGGCTGGGACTCCCAGCTGATGGACCGCTCTCCTTGCAGGTCAGTGACTTCCTGTCGGGCCGCTCGCCACTGACACTGGCCTTGCGTGTGGGCGACCACATGATGTTCGTACAGCTGCAGCTCGCGGCCCAGCACGCTCCACTGCAACACCGCCATGTGCTGGCTGCCGCCGCCGCCGCCGCCGCTGCTGCACGGGGGGACCCAAGCATAGCCTCCCCCGTGTCCTCACCCTGCCGGCCCATGTCCAGTGCTGCCCGAGTCCCCCCGGTGCCCACGAGCCCCTCCCCTGCGTCTCCCTCGCCCATCACAGCCGGCTCCTTCCGGTCCCACGCAGCCTCCACCACCTGCCCAGAGGTGAGCCTGGGGAAGGGAAGGGTGACCCTTGGTTGGAATCCAAAGGGTGGGCCGTCCTGGGGAGGGCTTGGAGAGGACAAGTGCTCTTAGCCCCAGGTGAGTCCCTTGTATTTAAGGGCTATCCTGTGACCGCCGGCTGGTAGGTGATCCCCCAGCCTAGACTGGTGGGGCTGTCTCTGGACCCTGAGTTGGTGGGTCATCTCCTGACCTGACCTGGACCAGGGGATGATCTCCTGACCTTTGACTCATGGGTCATCTCTATGCCCTGGGTTGGTTGTGACCTCCTGACCCTGGGCTAGTTTATCTCTAGACCATGCTTTGATGGATCATCTCCTGACCTGGGCTGGTGGGTGATTCCCTGAGCCTAGATTGGTGTGCTGTCTCTAGACCCTGGGTTGGTGGTGATCCCCTGAGCCTGGACCCCGTGCTCACGTGCCCCTTCCTCCTGTCAGCAGATGGACTGCTCCCCCACGGCCAGCAGCAGTGCCAGTCCTGGTGCCAGCACCGCGTCTACCCCAGGGGCCAGCCCTGCCCCCCGCTCCCGAAAACCCGGCGCCGTCATCGAGAGCTTTGTGAATCATGCCCCGGGGGTCTTCTCAGGGACCTTCTCTGGTAGGTGTCACAGCACACGCATGACCTCAGGTGTGTCCCGTGACCCTGTGCACTTGGGGCCCACATCCGCTCACAGGCAGCTCCACACATTCTGGGCATACACACGCTGTGTCCATTTGCTCCCTTCACATGTCCCCCAGGAATCCCC